TGAAAGTGTGAGGATTTAGTAGATCAGCCCCTCCCGTTAGCCCCCCTCCAAAATTCTGCACCACCAAAAATTCTGCAATCAGGGAAGTTTTTCTTTGCTTTGAATGTTGATAATATACATATAGCTTGTTTGTTGATTGTTTGTTTGTATATGTCTTGATTGTTGTAGGTTGAATTATATTGGTTTAGCCTGTTTAATTTCTGCCTAGTTCCTTAACCTTGGTTGTTGCAGTAGGATAGTTTGTGTTGTTCTGTTTCTTGGATTTCCTTAGCTAAGATGGACTGCACCTTCAATTAACTTAGATTGGTATGGTTGTAAATCTATAATTAATTAATCTAAGTTAATTTTGTGTTTATTTAGTTGTTTAGGTGTAGAACTTGTTAATTAAGCTTGGATTCAAATTTAGTCGATGTCTAATATAATTGTTATATAATTATTTAGTTTGGAATAACTTGCCTCCTCCTTAAGTTAGCCTAGTTAGTTGTTTGTATTTGTACTCAAGTCTCGATTAGTCCATTTAGCCATAATTGGTATTTTAGAACTAGATTAGGTGCTGCAGATCATTGATAAATTAAGGTGTTTTGTAGTTCAATTATATTGGCCTGGTTTTGAGATTGATTTCGTGTATACGTTGTTCAACGTAGGTCTATTTTATATATTGTTGTAGTATAGATTCATTGCTATCTTTTTCTGCTAATTGACTAGATTGGCATACCCTTACTATAAGTAGATACTTAGCTTAGTGCAGATATTTTGTTTGCATTAATCTGTTAGGTTAATAATTGGTGTGGTCTAGATTAGTCTTGTTAGTTTAGTTAGCAAATGGCCCCTTAAATCAAATTAGCTTTGATTCTTTAAACATATAGCTTAGTCATAATTTGACTCCAGTAGGATAAACTTTTAGATTAGTAATAGTATCAAACACTATTGTAATATAGACTATTTAATCCCCTGCAACTTAATCTCATTTCTTAAAGCTTAGTTTTGTCCTAATCATGTATGATTCCTGTTGCAACTTGTAGGTTAGTCTCTTTAAGCATTAGGGCGTGTTGTTTAGTTTGGTTATATATTTGTGCATCATTAGTTGTTGTAATATCTTGTGGAATAGTTTGGTTATTCATCTCTCTGTTATTATCAACTGTATGTGTAATTAGTTAGTGAAATAACTTTAATTTTCAGTTCAGTTATTTGAGATTTAATAAGTTAATTTATCGACATTTGTTGGCAAAACTTATATATAGCTCTATTAACTTGTGTATACTAATACCTGCAATTTGTTTTTATATAAATGATATGGGTCTAAATTATTTTGGCGTAGCTTATTCATAATTACCTTTAAATAATTATTATTAAAATTTATGTCACTTAATATAGGTATGAGACATGTAACTTTTATTATTTTGAGTCAAATTGATCTTGTAATACCCCGTAAAAATAATCTTCGGAAGTTTGCCAGGACCTGCCGGAGTCCGACGCCAGAGTCCGACAGTATTATTTTGGGCCTAATTTATTTTGGGCTTTTGGTATAAGAAATTAAGGAATTGGCTTTAAATTAGGAGTAACAATTGAGTTTGGACCCAAGTAGGGTAAAATAAATAATAAAGACTCAAGTTTTTATGTTTAATTAAGTATAAAATAAAAAATATATATAGAAAAAAGGAAGCAGCCTGACATGCCGCCAGCCCCCTCTTATTCGTTGGAGTTATTTTTTTCCTAAACTCTTCCTTTTAGTCTCTTCTTTTAAGGTAAGTGGGACTAATCTTAGATAGATGATATGTTCTAATCCCTAGACCCCTTCTATTGACATTTTTCAAAATTATTTTCAAATGGATTTGCCCTAAAAGTGTTAGGTTTTGTCAATTTCTTCTAGAAAGTTGGTTGTAATGCTTCCTAGGGCTTATGTGAAGATTATTATAGTATTTTAAATTGAAAATCGTAGAATTTCTGGAATGAGTTTGAAACACTAATTTTGCCCTAACCTAGGCATGGTTTTTTGGGAAACGAATTATGCCTATTGGGATGGACATAATTTTTGAATGTTTATTTGGCAAAATAAAGTGAGATTATAACAAACTTGTTGGGTTTTAATATTCCACTTTTTGGTTGGTTAAACGTTGGCAATTGAAATATTTTGTGTTTAAAGCTCTCTATTTTTGAAATTTGTCAAATAGCATGTTGAGTATTGGGTCAAATTGGTAATTAAAACTACCCGTTGAGTCCGATCTACTCGTCAATTGATTGGATGATAAGGCATAGCCGTCCACATCCGTGCCTTGCAAACACGTGAGGGTATACCGGTATTTTAGGATAACGAGCTAACCTCGTATTAGATCCCGAATGGGCTAGTCGAGGGATCGAGATGGCAGGTTTCCTTTTCGGTGATTCCGAGGTGCCCGTCATTCACAATGAAAAACATCTTTTGACCGTCATCCTTGGTGGAGGGTTGGATTGCGTACAATCCCCTCTTGGTATGTTATATTGGAGACTAGAGGGTTGTGGGCCGTTTGGCGCCTCTCGCAAACTAATAAATAAATTGACTTACGTGTAATTTGGGCTTCAAACCCTTAGATACACATTGTGGAGCTTTCCTTGAGGGTTGTGACCCTATGTGTGTTATGTGTAACTATGTGACGTGTCATACGAAGTAATAAGGTTGGAAAACCGGGTCGAACAAGCCCTAATTAAGGTCTAGTGGAGTTTACTTCGTGATGTGCTCATCACCATTATTTGAGAATAGAAAGGAGATATAAGGGAGGCGCTAAAAGACTCGTGTGTGTGAGTTACCCTTATGTGATACGTGTCATCTTATTCAATTATCTTCTTCAAATGATTTTGTGGCATTATACCGTATTAATTTATCTTCGATTAATTATGCTTACTCAACCGTTGTGTTGACCTTCTTCTTACAATGTAGGTGATGATGCTTCTGTTATACCTAAATGATGCATCTACGTCATATGATCACCGGGGGGAAACTATAACTACTTTATCTTATAAAATGCTTTTGAAATTCATTAATTATGTTTAAAGACTAATGCCTTTTGAATTATTCCCAATATATGTTTTTTGAGTCGAACTCTATTTATTTAATTGATAAGCCGGTGCGATTTAATTATAAATCCCTATTTACTTGTTTGTATTTATTATTTTAGCCTTAGCACCACAACGTAGGACTCGTTGGTTGATGAACGAGCCTTCCGGTGTGGCGTGACATTGACGCTCCGGCTTGAGATAGATGTCACGATTGATATAATTCTTGGTGCAGAACCGGTGTCTAAGGCTCCCTACCGTATGGCACCTAAGAGTTTGCCCAATTCAATGAGCAGCTTCGAGAGCTGGTCGATAAAGAGTATATCCGGCCGAGTAATTCTCCTTGGGGAGCGCCCATTCTGTTTGTTAAGAAGAAGGATGGTAGTCTTCGGTTGTGCATTGATTATCGAGGATTGAATCAAGTTACCGTTAAGAATAAGTATCCTCTCCCAAGGATTGACGACCTCTTTGATCAACTAAAAGGAGCAAGCGTATTTTTGAAGATAGATTTGAGGTCGGGATATCATCAGCTTCGGATTTCAGACGGCGATATTTTGAATACAACATTTCGAACTCGTTATGGGCACTATGAGTTTACGGTGATGTCATTTGGGTTGACGAACACTCCGGCTACCTTCATGGACTTGATGAATAGAGTCTTCAGACCATATTTGGATAAGTTCGTTGTGGTCTTCGATGATGATATATTGGTGTATTCTTCAAGCGAGGAGGATCATGCGAATCACCTCAGAATAGTGCTACAAGTATTGAGGGAGCATCACTTGTATGCGAAACTGTCGAAGTGTGAATTTTGGTTGAGCAAAGTAACATTTTTGGGGCATGTTATTTCGAGGGATGGTGTTTTGGTCGACCTATCAAAAGTGAGCTCTATTGAAAATTGGCCCCGACCAAAGACGCAGACAGAGATTAGGAGCTTTTTGGGGTTGGCCGGGTATTATCGGAGGTTTGTGCAAGATTTTGCACGATTGGCAAGACCATTGACATCGTTGTTGAAGAAAAATGTCAAATTAGTGTGGAAAAAATTATGTGAGCAAGCTTTTCAAGAGTTGAAACGAAGGTTGATGGTTGCACCGGTGTTGGCATTGCCGATAGATGGACGAGAGTTCGATGTGTATTATGATGCGTCAAGATGACAATTGGGGTGTGTGTTGACGCAAGATGGAAGGGTGATAGCATATGCTTCGAGGCAGCTCATATCGCATGAAGAGAACTATCCGACTCACGACTTAGAAATGGCGGCTGTCGTGTTTGCTCTCAAAATATGGTGACATTACCTTTTCGGAGTTCATTGCAAGATTGACACCGATCATAAAAGTTTGAAATACATATTCACTCAAAGAGATTTGAATATGAGAAAACAGAGGTGGTTGAAGTTAGTAAAGGACTATGACTTCGATATTTTATATCAGGAAGGTAAGGCGAATGTGGTTGCTGATGCTTTGAGTCGGAAGTCAAGTCATGATGTATGTTCGGTGACATTACCCGTAGAGTTGTGTCATGAGTTCGAGAATCTACAAATTGAGGTAGTGGGTCCTAAGGTGATTGAAGAATATATGGGTGCCTTGTCGGTTGAACCCGAGATTCGGAGGGAGATTCGGGAAACTCAGGTTGATGACGATGATTTACTCAACTTAGCGATAAGTGTGCAACAAGGTGAAATAAGCGAATTCCATATTGGTTGGGTTGCAAGTCTAAGATTTCGAGACAGATGGTGTGTACCAAAGGATCAGTTGGATATTAAGGAAATGATACTTAAAGAAGCTCATAGTTCTCCATATTCAGTGCATTTCTGATTGCGATAACATGTATAAAGATTTGAAAGGACATTTTTGGTGGCGCGGTATGAAAAGAGACATTGCGGAGTATATCACCAAGTGTTTTAATTGCCAAACAGTCAAGGCGGAGCATAAGAGACCTATGGGTTTGTTGAGACCTTTGGAAGTTCCAGAATGGAAGTGGGACTTGATTGCTATGGAGTTTGTGACCGGATTACCAAAGTCGAGGTCAGGCGCGGATGCCATTGGGTACTTGTTGACCGATTGACTGAGGCAGCAGTTTTTATCCCGATAATCATGACTTGGAGCATGCAGAAGTTGGCAAGGTTGTATATCCAGCATGTGGTAAAGAGGTATGGAGTTCCGGAGGTGATTGTCTCGGACCGCAACCTCCATTTTGAGTCAAATTTTTTGCAAAAGCTTCATAAAGAGTTCAATACTTGGTTAAGGATGACTACGGCCTTTCATCTAATGACCGATGGGCAGATTGAGCGCACTATTCAGATTTTGGAAGATATGTTGCAAGCTTTTGCATTCGATTCTCAAGGCTGGTGGGAGGATCAGTTGGCTCTGGTGGAGTTCTCCTAAAATAATATCCATCAAACGACCATTGGGATGGCACCCTTTAAGGCTTTGTATGGGAGGAAGTGTAGAACACCATTGTGTTGGAGTGACCTAAGCAAAAGAGTTGTATTGGGGCCCGAAATGATTGAAGAGATGATGAATCAGATTCGTAATATCAAGGCTAAGATGAAAGCCACCAAAGATCGCCAGAAGGTTTGGTATTACTTAAGGTCTCACCGATGAAGGGTGTGAGGAGATTTGGTATTAAGGGAAAGTTGAGCCCGAGGTATGTAGGGCCGTACGAGATCATCTAAAAAACTGGAGAAGTGGCCTACAGGTTGGCTTCGCTGGAGACATTGAAAAGGGTTCACGATGTTTTTCATGTCTCTCAATTGAGGAGATACGTAACTGATCCATCTCAAATACTTCAGCCGGAAGTCTTGGATCTTCAGGATGATTGGTGTACTCGGAGCAACCTATTCAGATTGTGCCCTTCAAAGTTTGATCGACGCGGAACCGTGAGATAAAGATGGTGAAGGTAGTGTGGTCACGGCATGGGATTGAAGAAGTTTAAAGATAAGGATTGTTGGCTTAAAGTATTGCAAAACTAATCGGCAGCTAGCTGACATACTAACAAATCCTTTATCGAGAAGCAAGTTTGAGGTTCATAGAGAGAGACTTGGAGTTTTAAGAATTCAAAGCAAAGAGGAGTGATGAGTTCGTGTTTAGTCTACTGCTGCAACCTTTATTTTCTTTATTTATTTATGTTTCAGTTTTTAAAATTGTAGATTACTATAATAACTTAGTTAGGGTTGTTTCTAACTTCTATGATGTTAGTTATTTAGCTTTTATTGCTTTCTTTTAAAATCTCTTGAATAAAGGAAAACCAAAATTCAAATTCTCAATTTTGTTTCTGCTTCCAATTCCTAAAATAACCCAACAATATGAGCCATTTATTAAACTGGAGGCCATGAGCAAGATCTCTTGTTCCTTTCAAAAGCCATCTCTGTTAATATATATTGTTGTTGTTTAATGTATACGACTTTATTAATATATATTTTTGTTGTTTAATGTGTGGTGCATGTGTCACAACATATTTTCCCTTTTGTAGAACATTGTGTTCTTTTATGCCTATATGTGGCGGACAATAAATTAGTATTCTTGAACAACTTGAACGTAACAAATTAATGAGAATAGATAAGCTCATTTTATAAAAAAATTTTGAGAACTTTATAGTTCCTAATTATTGGTTTTTGAAAAAAGTTGGATTTCGGATTATTGTATTGAGGTTCCTCCACATATGAGGCAATCATATCCCCGTAATTCTAAAGTGTTCATTATGTTCCACACGAAAAGGTATGGCAAGGGCCGTTACTGAGTGTGTATGGTTCTACAGAGAAAATAAGTAATGGACTTCTTATTTAATTATTTTATATATAAATAATATAATAATAATTAATTTAATTAATTTTTTTTAGTTATTTATTTTATTCGAAAAATACTATTTTATATACATTATTATTTTTATTTGTATAAAACTTACAGAATTAGATCTGCCTTTACAATTAAAATCAAATTTGGATGAATATGATGATTCGTGCATACTTTAATTTATTATAAGAGAGTTTCACGCAGTAAATAAAATATGATGTATTTTTTATATTTTTACTAAAACATAAGGAGGTATTTTATAACTTACCCTTAGTTATTAGCTATATAATTGACGTGATTATTTAGCCAATGTGCTTATCGTAACTCTTGTGTTGTATATAAGAATTTCACATCAATCCTTGTTGAATTAGAAAAAGGCATTTTGTTGAACAAGTTTATTTGTTCATATTTTTAAGGATTTTTATTTAAAAATGATTGATCTAAATATTATGAGGTATAAGGGTTCCGACATATGAAAAGATGTAGAAGTCATTGAGGTATTTCGGGTAATTAGCTTTTGAATGAGTGATGACGGGCCAGATGCATTGGAAATATAATAGTGAAACTTGTGTTTATAACTTATAATTGGCGAAAAATATGAAATAAGATGAAGTCAAAGTCGTAGTTACCCTGGTTGCATCAAATATAGATTTTATACTCTTTTTAAAAAGTGAGTCTTCAAGTAGATTCCGGGATTTTAAGTTGTGAGATAATTCAAGGTAATACTTACAATGAGTCTATATTGTTTAATGTGTGAAGTAAAGCATAATTGAATTAGCAAAATTTAACTATAATTATAACAAAGTAATATAAAATGAAATCTAATTGGTAAATGCATGCAATAGTATTAAGGTGGAGAATAGATGTGCATGACGCGTATGTGAGTGAACTAGGTGGCTCAGTAAGTGATGAACTTTGTACTTTTACCAACAATTACCAACAAGTTTTTCCAAAAAAAATAATTTACTACACACACATATTATTTTTATATTACCTACACAATTCTTTATATCTCACATAAAAAATATTCTTTCAAACCAAAACACAAAACAAACACACTCCAAGTTGGTTCCCTCAAAGGTTTCCTAAAGGTTGCAGAAATTCTTTTCCTTAGCCTTTTCATGCTTGTGGGCATTTTTCTACTCTTCAATGTTTCCTGAAGGTCCCCGGACATTATTTTCCATAGCTCTTTCATGCTTGTGGGTATTTTGGTACCCTCAAACACTTCCTGAAAGTTTTGGACATTTTTCTCCATAGCCCTTTCATGCTTATGGGCATTTTTGAACCCTCCAAGGCTTCCTGAAGCTTCTCGGCATTCTTCTCCATAGCCCTTTCATGCTTGTGGGCATTTTGGTACCCTCCAAGGCTTCCTGAAGGACTTGGGCATTCTTCTCCATAGCCCTTTCATGTTTGCGGGCATTTTGGTACCCTCCAAGGCTTCTTGAAGGTGCCAGAAATTGGTCTCCATAGTCCTTTCATGCTTGTGGGCATTTTGATATCCTCCAAGGCTTCCTGAAGGTCATTAACATTCTTCTCAATAGCCTTTCGTGCTTGTGGGTATTTTCGTACCATCCAAGTCTTCCTAAAGATTCTGGACATTTTATAAGTGGCATTCTTCTCCATAGCCCTTTACTGGTGTTGGTGATGGTGGTGGATGGTCGTGGTGAATGGTCCATAGGTAGGAGTAGGGATAGTTTCTCGAGATAGGGTTTATAAGTGGTATTAGAGGAAGATGAAATCTTTGTATATATAGGAAGCAACTAGTGGGGAGTCATTAGCCCCCTTGGTTTCTTCGTATTTATATTACAATCTATGTATGTGTGAAATTATTAATTATGTTTTATCACTTTGAATTAATTTCAACACGGACAGCTCACTCAATGTAATTAAGATTATTGATTTTAAAGCAAACCAAATTATTATAAAATATTGAAAAATAGTAAGCAATTAAAGCCTAACATCCACCGACTCTCCTAAAGGTAATAAAAAAGTGGTTGAGGAATTAATTACAGTGTCTTTATTGTAGATGTTGTTATTATCTCTTATTAATTAACCTCAAATTAATAAGTTGCCATTAGTCTTTTACTGCTAAATAATTTTCAAAATTTGAAAATAATTTTGTTTGTTTTAAAAATAATAATCTTATTTACAACGACTCAACTGTCACCGTCAAAATTCATTCAAATCCTCAACCACTTTTTAACAACTATTAAAAAAGAGGAAGTCATTGTTAGTATTTAATTTCCAACTAATTTTCATATTTATAAATAATTTGGTTTGTTTTAAAATTAATAATCTTAATTATAAAAAGTCGAATTCATATAATAATCTCACATATCGGTAGGTTTGAATAAAAAGATATATGAATGAGATAATCGTAGAATAACTCTACAAGTCAACGCAAGTCTATCCAAGCTGCTTTGTACTAAGTCACGTGCACCTTAAGAGGCTTTCCAATAGACACCCATCATAAAATTACCGTGATTTAAGCACACTTAACTTTATAGTTCTTTGAAATGAACTTCCGAAAATGATGTAAGCATTGTTTGTTGTTTGTAATCTAATCAATCTATTTAAAATTTACTCAACTCCAGGGGACGTGGAGGATGAATGTCTTCCCATAAGCCTTTTTTCTACTATTATAAGGGTTTCATCTTCGTCTAACACCAATTAGAAATCCTATCCAAAAAATTATCCAAATCCCTATCTATGAAACACCCACCACCACCACTAACACCACCAAACCCTCACTCTAATCCTAACACTACAAGAAAATATCAATTTTGTAACGATGTTTTTTGGTTCGTGAATCCAATTTTTCCGTTACTAATGCTATTAGTGACGGAATTGGGGATAAAATTACGTTAGCTACGTGAACTTTAGGAACGGAATTCCGTTACAAATATACAATTTTTTTGTAGTGTAACAGGTCGTGGCGAGGAGACTGTTGGATAATTCGTAAAAAGTTAATTATTCAATTCATAGAAAACTTAAATTCATATTTTTCATAATTGACTATTCGGTGAGTTAAAATGCATGTAGGTTATATAGTTGTTATTAATAATGTGGTTTAGGCTTGTATGCCAGTAAGCCACAAGTGCTCAAAGGTCTTAGACGTGGTCGTGGGCTTAGGCTTGGGCTTGGTGAATGATTGACTTGAAGAGGTCTATTATGCTCCAGAGTGTAATACCTGACCCGTAATGGAATTATCTCATTAGATGTTTAATGAGTTTAAATATTTTAACCCTTGTCGATATGTTCAATTTGATCGTGCACAGATTTTTGAGTTGTTATTTTTTTGGATGAAACCTTCAAATTATCTTTTCAATGCCATTGACAGAGAGTCGATTGAATATTGGACAAAAAAGATATGCTTAATTTAGTAAAAAGTTTATGTTAAGAGTTTATACCACAACTGTTAACTTCCAAAATTCGCTGTAAATCGTGTATAGATCCAATTGATTTGAAGTTTTGCAGATAGATAGTAATTTTAGTCCCTGGAAAGTTCATGCACGTTGGGAAACTGATACTTGAAGACAAAAGAAGACTGTCTTATGTTCCCTGACACTTGTACAATGAGTTAGATGCTTTAG